CCACAATACAACGAAGCGGACTGACCACTTCGTTTGGCCTTAGATCGGTAAGCGAAACTTGAAGAAACTTTTTCGGGGAATACGGATTTACACTTTATAGCAATAAACTGTAAACCGCTGTAAACCGTTATATGGTAACGGCAGCATACTGTGAATGAATTGTAGATCATCTATCATTGGGTTATAGAAATTTAAATCTCAAATTCGATCCTCAGATTCAGTATGAAGTATTCGTCGTTAGGCTTCCATGTGGCGAATTGATTTTGAGAGTTGAGTCTCAGGAAGTGAAAAATTAATAAATTAGTCTGCTATTAATTTCTCTTTGTATAAATACAAGATTTTCTGAAATATCGAAAACATCGTATTAAGGTCAGTACAATGAACTAAATCCATCTTTTCTGACCCGGATGTTGCAGTATTCTTCATGCTATTTCAAATACTTTTTGTGTTGTATTGTTCCTGTTCTGCTTTTTCGTACTTCTTTTCACATCATATTTGATTCTCCAGATTGTACATAATCTTACCAACTGTCGATAAAATATTTTATTAAACAGGTCATTGATATAAGTTCATAATTAATGAAAAAGAACCTTATCTATAATAAACATCAAACCTTTATATTTAATTCGGCAAAATATGCAAATCATTGGAGAATATACCTGAGCGGTAATAAACTGTGACATCACCCTATTTGGAAAGAATTTGTATAGTAATTACAAGGATGAAAATGAGTTGTTCCGAAATTCCAATCAGAACGCAAATATTTCCTTTGACTTTTTCACGAGTCATTTATAAATCTTAAATACGGGGATAAACAATGTCAGGTGCGGTCATGCCTATTATATTTAGAATTTCAGATGTATCGTTGTTGTCATACCGTCATTTTTGGGTTATTGGTGGAGCAGGATTTTTCTTTTTATTCGATTACTAGTGAATAGTGACACCGTTATGACAATAACGACAAAACTATGGTAAAGCGAGCGCTTTTGTACCATTTCCGGTTTACTACTTCTGATCGCATCCGCATACTAATTCGAGCAGATATGAAAGCAAATGATTATAACCTTGATTGCAAATTATCACCCCAACCTGTAGAATTCCTCAAAACTTTCAAAATGAATGATGAAGAATCATTTACTAACTGAAGAATTATTGAAGAATTATTTACTGAATCATTTACTACAAAATGAAGAATCATTTACTAACTATGATTTTAGCCATAATTTTTTTTGGCCATAATTTTTTAAATAAACCTTACATAAATCAATTTACTAGTGAGAGACTGTAACTAATTAGGAGAGGGCAGCATCACAGCCATCGTTTTTTGACTGAAAGATAAAGTACAAAGTACTTCATTCGAATGCACAAAGATTCTTCATGACGGGAATATTGGTAACAACAATTGTTGAAATCTTTTTAATTGCTAATAATATTACAATGTAAATTATTGATCATATTATCATTCGTTAACTAAATTCAATCAAAGTCTTTGAACGACTTTTATGTTATGGATAAAATTAAAATTTAGAAAAAGAAAAAATGCGAGATATGACTTGATGACTTTTGATTGGCGTTGTTTAGAATTGATTGGTACGACCTAAAATGATGAAACTTTTTCTCTCTTGATGAGTGGAATAAAAATTAACGACTGTATATAATCAATATGACGATGACACGTAGTATTTCGCAGTAAACACAGTTTTGTTAGTATATAATCGTATTTATCAAGATCAGTTTTTGGTATGTAATACTAAATAAAATTTCTTTCCATCAAAGAAAAAAAAACATTTTTTTCAAATGATATTGTAAACATCTGTATAAACAGCTGCAAACATTCGAATGTTTGAAGCCACCATCGTTTTAGTTTTTATTCAATCTTATTCTTTCGCACAGAAAATGAGCATAAATTTTTTAGAATTTAAATTGGTCGATTGATTCAAGTTCTTTGTATATTTTTATTCTTTCTTCTAATCATTTCGTTTCCTTCCATTCCATAATTTTTCAACAATGAAATTGAAAATGACAGCAAACTAGGACTATATTTCTTCTTGTTCATCTATCTATCATCAACAATTCACAGCTGATCTTCAGGCTATAATTAGTGCTCTTTTTTATAAACAAAACATTCTCTCACTAATTCTTTCATTTATCATTTTTTCACTTTTCTCCAAAATTTCTACAAATGTGAATTATTTCAAAAACTTTAATCGCATGTTCATGATGCAGTTATATATGATTTTTGTTATCACATTATCCGTTGTGAATTTGTCATATATTATATGTGTCTTCTACTTCTCTGTCATATGTCACATGTGTCTCCTACTTCTCTTTCTATTAACTCTTTGTTTCATTCTTATCCTTTATTTTATTTGCAAAAATTAAAAGGGTTATTTTAAAAATTATAATTACATTACGCTTTCACTTCTTCCACTTCAATCAAAGAGCATGTTCGCTGTTCAGTTAGGATGATCTAACTGAACAGCAAGTAAGCATGGTGTAAATGATTTTGTTTAAATTATACAATTTATATGATTTCAAATAATATTTCAGCTAACGAAACATAAACAAAAATCATAAACTTATCCACTGAAATGAATGACTGTCAGTTTTTTCAGCTGTCTAGTTTATCAATTCTTTTCGTACGCTCAAAATTTAAATATATCGTAGTGGGTAATTAATTAGTTATTAGTCAGATGGTTTTCTATTTTACTTTTATTATAATCTTTCGAAGTTTTGTTTTTGTAAGACCTTGATAACAACAAGTGAAAGATAGAGCTTCATTAATCCTTAACAAAATATGAAACGAAAGATAAAATTGCAAATTTTTTTCATAGTAACTGTTTGTATCATTTTGTAAATCATCGCTGATTCAAAGTTAATAAATAAGGAAATGTCAACGCTTCAATGACTTCGCATTGGAACAATTAATTATCAGATATGAAAAAAGATAAAATTTCTTCAAATCTTTATTAAGAAAAAAGTTTAGAAGAAAGAAAAGATGCAATCTTTCAAATGCAGCATTCATTTTTATTTTTGATGTCCTACAACTCATTACTTACCCAAATACATGATAGTGATATTATGTAAGTTTTATCATTGTCAATCATTTTGATAAAATCTGGCAATGAGATTTAAAAATAAGATTTGGCTTCATACATCTTCCGTGCAATTGCCTTCCAGTTATTAAATTAATACGTATAAAAGTAACAATGATAAATGTTACTCATTAACTGTTTCGTTAATAGCCAAATCTTACTTTCGATTCAGCACTAGACTATGGGACTTCAAAAACTCTGTCCAAAATCTGATAACCAGTACAGATAATGATATATATAATATTGTTAGTAATATTTTCTTTTTTTACTCTCTCTATCTCTTCTCTTTTGCTTCGATTTTTCTTATTTGCTTTGTCTTATTTTTGCAGGAAATATCTCAGTAACTCCCAATCGAATTTTAAAATTCCATCTTAACTGAACGGCAAATAATAATTTCATGCGTTATAATTATAATTAAAAAATGATAAGCAGCAGCAATTGTTTTTTTACGTTACAATTCGATTTCATTCCTCTTCACAGCATTGAATTATTACTTACATTATCATTTCAAAACTTTTTTTGAACAACTGTCACAATATTTGCACATATTTTAATATGATTTAGGATGATATAACAATATACGGAATTTAATGCATAGAAAAATGGTTTTAATAAATATTATTTTTCATTTCATGCGCTCGGTTACTACAAGTTGTCATATAGTTTAAAGAGAAATCAAATAGAATAGGTGCAATTTTATGATTTATATTGCTCTAGTGCATATTACTTTAATTATTCATTAATTTTTCCGAGATATGTAAGGCAAATTGCTTCAATTTAATAAATAGCCAGGTGTAATGCATACAATCTATCTCTCTAATAAGTGTCATTAGGATAGACGATTCCTGATTGTTTATTCACTTTCCACTAAAACTTCGAGGGCATAACAAATTTATGAATTCATAGCATTATTTATGGAAGATGGCTAAAAATTTGATGGAGTATTTTTGCTGCTGCAATAATTTTCTTGCGTCACTTTGATTTGATCGTTTTTTGAAGTATTTTCAATTACTCATATTTAAGAGCATTAAGCAAATTGGATCAAAAAATTAGAATTATTTATAGTATTAGTTTAAATTGGAATAACGTCACTTGCATTTCATAATTGTTTGCATTATGAATTTTAGTTATGTGCTTGCATTATTTCCTACAAGAATTCTTTAACTTGAATTCAAATTTAATTACAGATGTGGGCTGTTATTACTGCTTTATTTGCTATCCTTTATTTAGGTTATGTGATCAGTGTGATACAATTATATCACGGGTAATTTTCTTTTGCGATTTATTTAATTTCATTCTTCATTGCAATTTTTTGTAGCATTATTTAGGAGCATTGATTATCACCAAATCCTATCCAGTTTATTTTATTTCATACATTTAAGGTAGTTAAATTTTTTTGTTGTTCTTCAATAAATCGAATTATCAAAAATTCCGATTGCCATTTTTCGAAATTGTATTCGGTACAACGATTCATCACATAATCACACTTCAAAGACATGGCGGAAATTTAATTAACTCAAAGCAAATTTAGATACAGCTTACTGCGATTTCCAACAACAACAACGGACTGGTTGGAGAAAATAGAAGCCGATAGCTTTAGTTTAAATAATGCAAGTTAAAATTAAACTTCATTGATGTTAGCCTATTACATAAAATCGTCAAATAATAAATTGCCTAACCATTTTATTATATAGGATTTCTCGGAATGCTATCAATGATTTGAATTTTATCATTTCTCTGATCTTTAAAGTAATTTTTATTTGGCGACACGATTAAGCACTTAGGAAAGGAATTCATGCAAAAGTGGTCTTTGAAATTTTTCCGATGAAAAATTTGATGACAATAAGATCCATTAAATTTCCGGGATCAAAAAAAACATTAATTGATGTATGGACGAAACCGAATATGTATCGCAATCATGTTGATGTGTTGATTGCACCGGAATTCTTGGATCCATTCTTGGCTTTGCTCAGAATGCGTGGTATCAGTGATATAAAAATTGTTGCAAATGATATACAGAAGTAGTATAATTTAATTTATTTTTAATAAGTGTAATAATTCCATTTTAGATTTCCAAAGAGAGTGCAAATTTTTTTATTGTTTATTTATTGGAATTACAAAAAGGGATCAAATTTCAATTTTTTTGGTGATTTAATAGTAATTCAAGCAAAAGTCAAATATGCGAGTTATTAGCTATGAAGAATTTTTATTGAAAAATGAAGAAGCTTTTTTAGGTCATTGATATTGCTTAATTTACGTAAATTCTACGTGAACCAATTTTATCCAAAAATTAAGATTTCCTAATCAACGATGAATGCTCTCTCACTGTTAAAGACTTTATTTTTTCTTTATTGTCCTTGAAATCTAAATAAGTGAATAAACCAAATTCACACTTAGCAATAGCCGTTGATGGATCGAAATTTGGGTTTTTAAGAATGCAAATTAGAAATGAAAAAATTTCATGAAATGTTATTTATGAAGAGAAATAGATCGGGAGAGGAGAGATTTAGCATATGCAATGAAACATCGTCGTTCTCGACGTTTTACGAGAGATGATTCATTAGCTGACTTCAATCTTACTGCTTATCATCGTTATGACAAGGTTTGTTACCTTTAATGATCAGTTGATAGTGCAATCGATAAACAGTGCAATCGGATCAGAAATTTCTTCTATAAGAAGTTTAATAAGATTTTTTTGAACCTTCAGAAAATGGAATTGTTGACTAGCACATATATCATAGAAGAAATTTTCTTTTTTACAATCATTGCTTACTCAATAGTATTATTTTTCCTAAATGATTGTTACAGATTGTGGAATACTTAGAAATGCTCTCACGATTATATCCAGATTTAGCTGAAATATTTAATATTACTAGAACATATGAAGGTCGCAATTTAATTGGCATTAAAGTTCGTATTGTTTGCTTCTTTTTCCGATGATTAATTCCAAAACTTAAATACCAATTTGGTAAAGTCTAAGGAATCTTTAAAATAAAATTTAGATTACCAAGAATGGATTCAAATTTAGCACTATATACCATCCAAACCATGAAAATCATTTCAGATGAGTAAATCAGTTGATAAAAAAAGTTTTGAGGTAAATAAAAATCAATGTATCTATTATAGATCGGATCACAAGCTCCATACAAACCCGCTATATTCATTGATGCAGGTGTTCATGCAAGAGAATGGATTGCACCTTCAGTAGCCCTTTACATCGTCAGCAAGGTTAACCTTTCATTTAAAGGAATGAGTTCGTTGCAAAACGATAAGCTTTTTGAAAGGAAAGATCGAACTTACATACTGATATTTCTAGCTTGTAACGGAATATGCAAAAGATTCCGGTCTAACGGATATGGTAGACAAATTCGACTGGTATATTGTTCCAGTGGCGAATCCAGATGGATATGAATATAGCATGACTACTGTATGTAAATTTTTCAAAAACATTTTTAAGCTATATTAGTTTAAAAAATAATTTTTTATTTCAATTTACAGTGAATTTAGGTCTACTTTGTCTTTTTTATTGTCCTGTTTTTTATTTTTTTAAATAATTTTTGTTGCAATTCAAAAAATGTGCACATTTTATTGGAACTAGAAATTTTGAATCTATAATTTCTGAGGATGAATTATAATATATCCCAATAGAATTGTGAATTAAAGAACAGCCTTCAAATTATTGAGGGTAAAATGAAATATTATGTAGATAGAAATGGATTGATTATCTTAAGAAGCGAAGTTATTGAAAAAAAAATCTTTGAAATATTTTTTGGAGGAAAAATGAAAGATTCCAGTTTTAAAATAATACTTTTGATTTCCCTAACTTGGCCAGCTTTCCTTTTTTGTAGTTAGACAATTCAAGGCACATAAAATATCAGAAAAATTATATGGCCAAATAGTTTTATATTACACTAATTGGTCTACATAATACATTTTTATTATAGCGTTCAGTTTTCAAAAACAAAAAGACATTGGCTAATAAACAAAATAAAGAAAAAATTTATCTGCTATTTTACCATAAAGAAATTTCAATAAATAAACAAAGCAATATGAATAAGTAGGAACATATTAGCCATATGGTAAATATTTTTCGTTGATCATCTTGATATTAAAGATCTGAAAAATATTATCTTGAAAAAACAATACTACTGGTTTCCATATTTGAAAACGAGATTTGAACAAGTTAAGGTGAAGTTTAAGGTAGTCCAGGACAAAAAAGATACCATGATCGAGATCGAGGGAAATCCCTCGATTCGTCTACTTCTCCGGCATCACATTCTAGGACCGATTATGGAGAAAGACACGATCAAGGAATGTTACAGTTAACAAATGGTGCGTTGGTGCTGATGCGAACAGAAATTGGGGTTATCGATGGGGCGGTTAGTTCCATTGTTCATAAGACATGAACTTTCAAAGTAATAAACTTCATAATTTAATTTTGAACAATTTCTCGTCGATTCAATTCCTTAGATGACCCACTTTTTTATAATATCTTTTATCATGCGCTAATTTTCATATTATAATTTATTCTGATTTAAAAAATTTGGATCCTTTACAGAAGTAGAAGCAAATCGTAGCCCATGCTCAAATATCTATCCCGGTTCAGCAGCATTTAGTGAAGCAGAAACAGCAGGTATTCGAGATTTTATCACTTCTCAGACTCTTGATCTCAAGATTTATGTTAGTTTCCATAGCTATGGACAGTTATTCCTCGCGCCGTGGGGTTATACCAATGATAAACCGAACAATTATTATGATCAGGTGAGTTCTTGGTAAAAATTAAATCTGATTTTTGGTTTTGTTTTTTTAGTCCTGTTTTATTAAATTAGGCTTTGTCTGTCTATTTCAAAGCGTATAAACTACTTTAGCTTCTCAAATAACCTAACAGAACAGCAATGATGCAAACTAACTTGCTACAAACGTTGAATGTTTAGTAAAGTAAGTACATATATGTTTTGTTTACAAGCTGTTGATTGTAGAAGCAGGCAGCAAGCCTGGCAGTAGAGGCTATTCGAAAGAGAACTGGTGCAAAGTATAACTATGGTACTATTTCTGAACTAATGTGTTAGTTCTCTTATATATTTCTAAGCTTTTTAAGGTTACTTACCTAACAATACTAACTTTATTATAACTTTTAAAACAAAAAAGCATGTAGAAAAGTCACTGTACAATAAATTGAGACAAAAATTTATAGACATTTGCAAAAAACTTCACAATTCCTCAGCAATCTTGGAATACAAAAAAATTACTGCTTAAAATTAATATTTCAAATTCTAAATTTCTATCGATAAATTGAAATGAATATAGATCCAGCATCAGGAACAAGTATCGATTATATGCAAGACAAAGGTATACCTTATATCTACGGTATCGAATTGAGGCCTGAAGATACAGATAGCAACTTCGGTTTTACCATTCCAGCACGATTTATTGAACCTACCGGTTGGTTTAATATTAACAGTTGACTTAATCGACCTAATCAATTAGTAAGAATAAGTGAGGATTACACCGCACAAATAAACTACCCAGTATTTAGATATATATTAAAATATATATTTTTTTAAGATATATATATATATAGTTTTTTAAGATATTTTTTTAAGTTTCGAGAAGCTTAAAAAATATATATTTTAAGCAGTTTCGGACACATTACAAATAATAAACCACAATTTTCAAGAGAAGCGAAAAGTAGTTAGATTTGCAATGATTTAATTTTTAATAATATTACTTTACCTGAACAAGAAAAATCTAAGCACTAATTGATGTCAGGCTACCTTACAATTTTATAGAATTTCAAGCACCCATGCTGTCAGTTATTTCCAAAAAGTCACAGCATGATTATCGATTAGAAATATCAAATTACAAAAAAAGTACCATTACTCGTCCTAACATCTTAGAAATCAATTATTTCCAGGTGAAGAGATGATATCAGCACTACGAACAATGACAGATTATGTAAATCAAAAAATAAATTAATTTCGTTTCACTTCTGAATCATCCCGGAACATTATTTGCTGCCACAAATTCAAGAATCTTAAAACGAATAAGGCTATATTGAATTTAATTTTTTACGACGCAAATCCATTGTGTCCCCTTGGTCATAGTTTCATTACTTGTTGCAATTCTAGCTAACTTGAGAAGTTTCTAAGAATAGTAATAATTATTAAGTTATACTTTGTTTCAGATTATCAAAGCTGTAAATGAATGTGTCATCATTAGGTGGATACAATTAATATGAATGAGTAGGTAAGCAATTTGGCTCCTGATAATGTCTATCTTAGCATACATTGGTGATAACCTAAAGTCGGCAAAAGCAAAGTAATTTCTAAACCTTCCATCCAATTTCTCAAAAAATTATAAATAAATGCATATAATCTCAAATTTCGATTTGAAACAAGATGTGAGAATTGTATTCACTCTGCCTTACATCATCATTCGTTTTTATTCATATAATATTTCGTCTGCTATATTGTGATCGACGTAAGCTTTAATTAAACAATATCGATAATTCGATGTACCCTGCGATACTGATGTTATTTGTCACCTGCTTAATTAATCAATTAATCGAATCTGTGGAAAATTTGTTTCAGTAAAAGTATTCCAATTTTATCCAATCAAATGCATCCTTCATTCTAACAAAAAACATAGTACTCGTGACATGTTCACGGCTAGAAAGATTCTGCTGTTACACATTGGAGAATACACATTTGGCATATTTTCGCACAATTTTCAAATAATTCTATATCAAAACATTACCACATGAAAAAGCACAACATAAAATTGGTATAAAAATACATTTAGCAGGCTATGAATTATACTTCTTCAAAATTTTTGGGAAAATGAAATTTAAACAAGATTAGTTCCTTCCTATATTCAATATTCGAAAAGCAAAAAGAATCAAGAAAGAATCCGAAACTTCTTCCGATATCAGCCAGTGATAGTATTGATACCAATCAAAAATATTTTTAAGAAAGAATTCCGGGGTATACATGTAGTAAATTGCAGTCTCACCTAGAAAAAATGCATTAAATACATTAAGCATACAAAGCGTTGAGAATTGTAACACAAGTGAGCAAGCCTTTTAAAAGGAAAGATTAAAATGATAAGAGAAATGACGTGAATAAGCATTATTGCATTAATAGGCATATAAGAAAATACAGTATTTAAACACATCACAAATACATATACAGCTTGTCTCAATAGTAATATCAAAATAAAAACCGGTAACTAATGCCATTCAATGCAGAAAAATGTGATCCTAAATTTTCCATTCAAAAATACTGAAAATGCAGTAAAATTTAGAAGCAATTTTGCTTCTAAACTTTCGATTTCAAAAAGCAGTTTGCTAATTTAAGGTTCTTTTCGAAGATAAATTTAACTGAAAAATGTGTTAGTTTCATGCATATGCTAATTTATCCAGTCATAATATATGTTCCGCTGAATGTAATACATACAGGGTAAATGCTAAATTGCAAATCAATTGCTATTGTAATTTTCAGTAACGAGAACATTGTAAAGCCAACCTTTATAATTAATGATAGAATGATTTATATTCAAAATGCATGTTTAAGAGAGAATTTTTTAAACCTCATAAAAAAACAATACGATGAATTACAATGGTTCATTGTAAGAAATTTTAATTTGGCAGGAAACCCGTAATATAATGGATAAAACATATGCAATATTGAGAAAATAGGACGTAGAAAAAAATCTGAACATGCTTAAAATCATCAACCAAACTGTTAGCATTTGTATAGCAAATATTTTTTCATATTGTTTGGCAACCTCAGTTCCCGTACTCGACAAATACGTTCTTTTCCTAGATATGTTCGAATTGATCGTCGGCATAATTCCAAAAGCGTCAACGGTTCAGCTGTAAACAAATAAAATAATTACAACAACTGATGTTTTTCCTGTTTTTCTTCTTGGAGAAGAAAACAGAAAAGAGACTTCAAATAATCCCACACTCCTAGCAAATGAAACCGGAGAAACTAAGAGTTGAAAAAGAGTTTTCCATTAAAAGCAGTACAGGCAAAAATCCTCGAAGTTGAGCCATCCAATTACTACAAAGTGTCGAAATAAATTAATTGCATTGAGCGTGCCTATATGTGATTTTCTAAATTCCAAAGACATCCTTAAAAGCCAACTAATTTATTTGAATTCTGATCAATTCCATGTCAAGTCACTGCCTATATTTAAAAAAAAAAACTCAGTGCCTAAAAGTCCAAATTTGAAATTTCAATGAACATTAAAGCAATACAACAAAACATATTAGTTTTTTCCAAACTTCTGCCGTTAATGTCAATGAAAATTCACAACATGTTTGATATTATCGAAAACAAACAAAAATATGAGGACCGATGATGCATAAAAACGATAGGAACACATCAACAGTTTTCCCAACAGCAATGTCTGTACGAAATTAAAACGATATTTAAAATTTTAGGTTATTTAATATTCCAACAAGGTGTTTTTAAGCCCCATGCATTTTGAACACCGGAAATATCATTAATACCAAAATATGAGACATCACAATTAGCAAGATACTAATATCAAAAAAAAGGAGCTTTAAAAGGGTGAATAAGATTCATAAACACTTTGCTAATGCTAGAAACCTTCCATACAATAGAAAACACTTGCAGTCTCAGTCAAACTCCATATCAATGGAAGTTTCTTACATGATAATCGTGAAGCATGACTAAAATTTTTTTAAATCATTAACTTTCAGCTCTTCAATTTTTCCATAAAATTAAGATACCGAAAACTCCATAGAAAACTTACGATCAAGTCCTCCGAGATATTTAATCGTAATTTCACAGTGACCCCAAACAGCGGAAACGATTGGATATAATTCTCGACCCTTCAATCCCGTGAATGCTACACCATAATAATCAGCATCAGAAGCAAAGGCCATATATCCTTCGTCCATATCAAGAATACAATAGAACTGATCAGGTGCCAGATGATTCTCATCGCGTAATATACATTTGGGATATGTCCAACCATTTGTATTCTTTGAATCATGATAACACTTATTGCGTACTAAAAAATGCTCGTGATATCCATTACAGTTTCAAACTTGATAGTCTCAAATTGAACGAAAACTATGAAGATATATTATCCGGTAAGTTACTTGCTTATTGCAGATAGACAACCAGTATTAAAGCTTTTAGGTTTGATACAAATAGCACTAGAATAAATTATGAATTATGATTCCTCCAAATCAGTTTAATCCCTACGAAAATGTTAGGATTACACGGAGTTTTAGAATTTATCAAGAAAACAACTATGAAGATGGAGTAAATAACAAAGCTGATTCTGACATTAAGGAAAACTTTTCGTTGACAAAATAAGCAGAGCCATTTATAGTTGAACTTACAATTGATTAATCATAACAACAAGTTTACGTTCTTTAAGTCTTCCTCGTATATATAAATTGAAAGTTATAACAGTATACAAAGAGATAAGACGAGATGAATAGAACAAAAACTAACTTAGATCCCATCCATATGATTCACTGTTCGAACCAATAAGTGAAGTATAACCAACAGCATGTAATGATGCCGCTTTCGTTGCTACACCAACTGAAGCATGAGTTCCTCGTTGCCTTTGAGGCCATTTAATTTGCCAAACATGAAAACCTTTCGAGAAACCAATCTTGAAAAAGAAAAATTAAGATTAAAAACAAAAAATCAGCAAAGTTTACTATTTGAACTTAATATAAGAAAATACGTTTTAAAATTGTTAATGAAAGTGGATTTACAACTATCACCCAAAAAGATTGAGTTTGTAAAGTATTTTTTACTATCAAAAATTCTTTGATCGAAAATGCTTCCAAGTCAAACACCAGCCAATAATTAGGCCGTAATCCAGATTTGGATAAATGCACCTGACATTTTACCAGATGTCGGAAATATTTCTGTAATGGTAATTCTCTGCTAACCAATAAAAGGAACGGAATAACCCTTCCCTTCGTAATTCAGACTGCTCTGAAGTAACTTTTTCCTTTGCTTTGAACAATACTGTTAGTTTATAGTTCTACTCGGTGTCAGTTTATAGTGATCCATTCATAATAAGAAATGTTGATCAACTACATTGATTCCGAAACTTTGTAGAATTAAGAGATTTTAATATTCGAAAAGGTTTATCAAAAAACAAAATCTAATGTAACTTGTGCATGTTTAATTATTCAATTCTCTTATCCAACTATGCTTCAAATCATCAACAAATAGGAGATATGGGTATTGTACAATTATTTCAACTAAAAAATTGGTGAAGTCTAAACGGAAAGAAAAAATGGGTCAGCCGACACATGGCTGTACTTTCCGGATTTTATAAATCGCTTAATTCACCTTGGCACGAATAGAGTCGGTGGATTGAGCAACGGGATGTCTGTGGAATGTCAATCGATCATCATCCTTAACAAAAATATTCAGCGAGCGATCATCTGGATTCCATGCATATGCTTCCATTACTTCAAGTGGCGGTGGTGAAGAACTGATTATTAGGTCAAAGCGACTTGGACGGAACATATCCTCATAACAAGAGCTCTATAAAAAAAGAGCCAGGAAATTTGATTTACAAATCATTGATTTAAAATTTCGTTAATTTACACAGTTATGATAACCTGCAAATGCGGACGCCGAACCAAAACTCGATTTAATATTTTATACGAGTACTTAGTTGGGTATGCATTAAACTAAAGTGTGTAAAGTATCAAATCTCTCTACATTAAAGTACAAAAATAAACCATAGGATTAGCATTTGACTGAATGCGTGGCCGTGAACCATTCAACTCTACCACCATAGTTGTAGTATGTGATGTAGAGCTTGAAGCATTGTTTAAGCTTCGAACAGCTAGATTTTGTTCACGTGAAGTACGATGGGAACGAGTGAAAAGATGCTGTCGCCGTAAACTGCTGCTGTTGCTGTTACCAGTTTCATCAATTTCGGTAACAGCATTGCTAACCCGCTCTTCAATCACACTGGATCCAGCTTGTGTTTCACGTGAAGGACGGAAAACTCTACGGGTTGCGATGTTTTGACGAATGGCTAGCTGCTGTGTAGCTGATAGTACCATTGCATTGCTACCACCAATGATAGCATCATCATAGGGTAGTCCGGTTAATGACGGCACATCTGAAGTGAAAAAAAACTATCCCAAAGAAAACATCAATTTTTAGAAAATTATGCCTACTTACTTGAGATCAAGAATGATTTAAGCCTTGCTGATGCTGATCTTTATATGGCAAATCATTCCAGAAGTATTAGTTTTCTTTTCAATCATTAAATCGCCAAAACTTTTAGAGTGAGATTTGAGCAAAAAACGTTGTGTTTAACAGTTGATAGTGATCAATGATAAACTTCGGAGAAGAATGAAGAATTTACAGAAGAATGAAGAGTTTACAAGAATTTACAATATTAGGATAACTTCAAGATTGAGTAGTATGTCGAAAAGAGAAAAGGTTCTACGACTTAAGCTTTCAAGAAAAGGACGTCATGGAAGTTCTCTTTCTAGAAGCTTCATGATATCTAAATTTTCAGAGACCTAATGCCATCAGTGACTGAAAAAAAACCAGTATGCTACACAAAGACATATGAAATAAAAAAAGTGCATATGGCAATATCGACAAACATGCAGAATACCAATTTACTTTTAACGTTTCACATACTAATTGATTACTACTACGATTATTATACACTTCAACATTATCATGGAAATTATCAATACGAATATTTATGTTATATAAAAAAGTTGTTAAAGGTGATATTTATGCATAATGTGAAGTGATGAAAATGAACGATATTATATTTACTACCACGTTTGTCATCCCTCTTTCATTTCTAGTTTTTGAAACTTTTGAAGTTCTGCTATTTTTTTAGTCTTGAAAATAGTAATTAATAATTTTTAGATGTATGCCATACTGATATATTTGCGATGTAATACTGCATAATATATATATATATTGGCGACTGGAAAGAGATGCAAACGGGATGAAGAATCCATGCATGAAAATCCACGGGTCGACTGTACATGTTGATGTACATATACGTAAGTTAAATAAATGTGTCCGAGATGCGTTCCAATATAATACTTGATAAGATTTGGGTAAAAGAATAATTCATATATTCATGGAAAACATTCTGTTTTACACAACTTATTACGGATTTCATATGTTCGAAATGAAAATTGGTAAAAGTGATTAAGAAATAAATCGGAAAGAATTCTATTAAAGCGATCAATCAAAACAAAATTATTTTCACTACAAAAATGACCTTTGACATTTAAATTTCATCTGGTAAATTATTAGACAATATACAGCGAATGGCAAGGAAAATAAAGATCGGAAGGATTGAGAAAGGCTTACGAAATGATTAAAGGAAGTAATCTCCTTTAAAACAAGAGTAGTAAGATAAGATAAAGAATGGAAAAGTATGTTATCTCCAGATAAACGGGTTTTCCGAATGAAGTATGGAAAGAAATGAGACCTGAATAAGGATCTATCACGTTCATTATTCTTCCCATATTCTAATTCCAGTGTCTTTCAATCTTACCACTTCGCTACAGCATTCATTCTTTCTTTAATGAAATGATCATAAGAATCACTTAGGTCGGGAAATTCAAATACTTAACATTTAATGACCGGAAACTCTCAGGTAAACTACTGATTTTATATCAAGCCTTCCGTAAACAACTATTTAAAACCATTATCGCTGATGTAAACCTGAAAAAGAATAATGATTTCAAGAACAATCACATAATGACCTGACCGGATCCCACTTTGTAATTAAAACTTAATGGAATAAAGCAATATCTTTTTAACATGAGAAAAATGCTTAAATCTTAGGAATACTTCATAATTTCACTTGTATCCTTGAAGTAAGAAAGACTTTTTACCAAAGAAAAACCGCGACATTCTTTAACAATCTTTTCATGGCTCTCCAGTCCAAATGCAGAAGAAAAGAAAACTGAATTAGAAAATTCACAAATCTCGAATACCTTTACAAATCCCTGCTTGAAGCACTTCATTTCTGCCAGTTTGAGAGCTTTCAGATAAATGTTGAAAATGCTGAAGTGAATGCATGATGCTAATTAAAAGCGGAATTTAGGGAAAGATTGAAAAATGAGCACTAGAAAGTGGATAACGACTCGCAAATATTAATTATATACTAAAAAAGTGTAGCTGAATTTATTCAGGTCAAAAAACTGAAAACAGAAATAAAAATTCAAAAAAGAATGCACATATTTTGCCGAAATATACGAATTTCAAACTCTTATCACAGAAACTGGTTTTATGGAAAAAATAAAGAAAATGCAACAAATAGTTTTGATTTAGTATGTCTAACATTTTCAAGAATATTATCATATTTTCTATTATCTAAGTGTTTAAATTCATAATTGATGTCATTCTCGGAATGACATGCAATGACACCGATAGTCTAAATATAAGTCTAAATAATCTAAAATAATCTAAAATCTAATATAATATAATAAAATCTAATATAATCTAAAATAAATCTAAATGTCACTCAAACAGTCCGGGAGAGAAATATGCCGGAAAGGATGTTTGCCGAAAATGACAAGAAATGGGCAAAAATTTCAATAACCAATCAAATTCTTTTAGTTTCAAGCATATTCATTCTTTAAGCTCATTAAAAACAAACTTTCTATTAAAGTTTTCTCATGGATTTTTTTGAAGGGTCATATATCCGCCGAAGGAAATACAGAACTTGCAAAACGAGTTAAACATAAAGTAACTTTATATTAGTTCAAAATCAAAAAAAAATTTATTTTTGAGCTCTTTTTCAATCATATTAAAATGATTTTAAAAAGAGATTGACCTATTCTTTGGTAATCCCTGCTTTCCGAAAAATTTAAGCTATACCTATTGTACTTCTGTAGTTTTCTTCGGGTGGTCCTGGGAAACATGATATGCCTCATTTGGTACTAACATCAAATTTAATGATGTTTATAAGTGTTAATATCAGTATCGGCACCAATGTGGTCAGACTAATTTGATTTTCAGGGAAAAAACGCATTCGGATGATCGATTTTTAAAAAATACACTGTTTCTCTTAAAAACCAACAAAAGTCAACAAGATGAATATAGTTCTCGAATTTGAAATCATACAAATACTCTAGTGTATGGATATGAATGTTTACCTGAATTCACAGTATGTTAGTCGACACATATCTAAGCATGAGATGTAGCAGATGAAAAGTGAAAGATCAAATCATGAAAAAAAGAATAGCAAAGTAAGCTAGGAGATCAAGAAAGCAGCTTGTTTCAAAGACAGCTTCAAGATTTTTTTTCTAATTCAACCAGTTTCAACCAATGTTCTTAATTCCTCATATAAATGCCGCTTTACTTATTATTCTCATGGTTTTTTGTACATTAATCAAACAATGAATGATTTAGGAGCTTCAATTACCACGCCTTTTGCATATAGCATTAATTCCCGAAAAGAAACTCGGAAAAAAATCAACTATGCTTACAGCATGTCAGATTCTTTAAAACGCTTTAACTCGCTTGCTTATAATGTCCCAGAGAGAAAAATGAAAAATTGAAAACAAAGGTTAAGGAAATTAACTATACGATTAGAAAACGCTTTAAAAGAGAAAACTGTTGAAATCTGTGCATGAACCACCGTTTCATTTGATCAGCTAAGCAAATGTTCTGCCATAGTAGTAATATAATCGGAAGAAATAAACTTATACCTTGTCTGGAGGATTTAATTAATTTAATATTCAAAAAGAAATATATTATTTGTTGACAAAAGATCGATGATTATGCAAAGCGGAAGGATTCTCTCATTGGAAACATTTCCAAACAAAGAAACTCTTGTGCATCCGATACCACTGAAAAACGAATGATAATACTGGTTTTGGCAGTTATAAAACAATTTCAATAGCATCAAAACTAACATCTGATGAAGTTGCCTTTATCAGTAATAACTGCACAATGGAAAGCAAATTAACTATCAAAGATATAAGAAATTCAGCAAATTTGATGTCATCGGCGAATCGTTCATAACCATGAGTTTGGCGGATTTTGTCATTCTCAGATTCGATAACTTCTTTCTTCTCGAGAATTAAAATTTTTGCCATAAGAATAAAATTGGGATTGTAAAACGCGGTTCCGTACAGCGGCCCTTATTAAGTCTACTAAGTTAATTCAAAGCGAAATGACTTTGCTGCTTACATTTCCAAAGAAACCGTTTCTGAAAATCTCACCTCAACTTATGGTATTGTCTTCAACAGGACCAAACTGCGCTTGAATCACATAGTGAACATTTTGCATAACCTACCTTAATAATGGACAAAAACTTTACTTTTTATTTTACAAATAATATTCCTGTTCCTCTCAGCGGCATAAATGCATGTAACAAAAGATGATTAAATGGTCAGGTAAACTGAATGATTAAAAGAACAATGTTTTCTGATGTGTTTTTTCGATTTCAGTGGTCACTTGGGTATTCTTTGCCAATTTCTTTCATGAAAAAATTCCGACACAGGCAAATTACTAACTTGTTACTCAGAACTATATCATCCCGAAAAAAATTCCAAAAAATAGAAAAATATAATCAACAATCCAGTTTTTGGAGAAAATCGATCTGGAGAGACAGAACAATAATAGAAACCATATAACTACCATCCTATCATTATGCTGTTATATACTCCAAACCTGTTTCAATGTTACATTTTAGGTTTGGCCTTTGCGTAAAGACAAAAATTCAAAATACTGTTATTTTTTCTATGCAAAAATATTTTGACTGCTTTTTTTAGCATAAAGAAATTGTTTCTTGCTGTAATAAAAAATTTTTATTTAATAAAGAATTTTTCGTCATCATTATAACAGAAATTTACTTTTCACTTAATTTCTATCTTATGAAAGCCATTTCTATTTGATTATAGAATTTTTACTAAAATTTCAAAATTTTTAACAGAAGAATATTTCATTTTCTAGTTTCACCTAAACTAATTCTGAAAACAGACTTCGAAACAATAGTTCTTTTCAAATACCCCATTTTTTACAACACTTTAAAAATGCTATTAATTGCTACAACAAAATTCTGCAATTTCTTGCATAAAATGCAATGTTTTCAAATGAAATCAAAATTTTATTTTTAGCTATAGATAATCAATCATTTTCTGGCATAACTTTTCTTATTATCAAGCAAGAATAATCGGAAAAGAAACACCACAATGAGCACGAAGATTTAAGTCTTTTCTTTCAGCTTAATATTGGCTTTGATCACCCCTGGGATTTGTAACACCAAATATTGATCCATCCTATAAACAAATTTCAGCATGCACCTCTTAAATAACTTTTTCGAAATATTTCAGTTCTCCCGACTCCTCTTCTCCTTAATATTCAAAAAAACTATGTTCCGTTCAAAAAAAATTGAACAAAATGTTGGATTCGAAGGATATTCGGTCAAAAATATCCTTCGTGTAAATGGAAAGCACGAGTTATTGTACACTAGAAATGAATTCTATAATAATCCTTCCCTTTAATTTTAGCTCAAAAATTAAAACGAAAAATAGTCGATTGCATGGCACTGATTGAATCGAATGCATGACTAAATGAAGAACTGCACGTATGATTTAAATTACTGGTTTTATGTTTGTCTCTACCTTTTGCAAAAAGAGGTCAATGGCAGCGTAAAATAATCCGTTGTAGGACTGAAAAGTACAATGATAAAGAGGGAAATTAGAACCTAAAAATGACAAACTAAAAAAGAAACAAAGCAATAAAAACTTCATCAAAAAAAAATTCGTTTTGCCAATATGTTGTCAAAGTCTATATTCTATTCAGAATATTGGCAATAACCTCGTCATTCGGACGCTACACATTACAGTAAAATAAATCTCCTTAGTAGTAAGAAAATTAAAATATTTTGATGAATGAATTTTATGGAATCACACAAATCATTTAGATGACTAACGAGAACAAAATCAATGCCATAACCGAAAAAACAATTAATAAAACCAACGATTTTCAATGATCAATTTTTGTAACCATAGAATTACAATTAATAAAGTAATTTTATTCCAGAGATAAAATTTTAATCCTCTCTCCAAAATTTAAGAATTAAATGTTACATTTTCAAGTAAATGAAGCAGAATTAAATTACACAAACATTATTTTGTTTCCAAAATTGATGGTACATTCACCATCAATGAATATACTATTTAACTAAATTTTGAAGAATATAAAATCGAAATAAAATAACGAATTTGATGTGAACTTACCCTTATAAACTGGACTATCACCCTGCGTTTGAGCAGACAAACGATGACCCATCGCTGCTGATTTTTCTCCGTCCTGAAATTACAATATCCTCGGAGAGATAAGCCATCTTTCCTTCGTGCAACATATATCCATAAAGCGCAAGCTGTCCTTCCTTCTTAAAATCATATCTTATACTCTGGAAAATACGAGCTAACACTACCCTCGGACACCCCGTATCCCCAAACACATACGTATTATGAAAACATCTTCGCCTCACTACCACCCGGCCAAGAAAATCAGAAAATTGCCCACCCCTACGTGTGACCGAATTTTCGGCCGCTTCGTCGGACGAACTCTATAGCTTTGTGAGTGGTATATGTGGGGAATGTCGAGGGCTCTCACTACAGTACGGGAATTGTTTCTGGAGGTGTATTGATGAGCATCTTTATTGATCTAAATCTCTGACGATAAAGATATCATTCAGGTTTTGCGAATCAGATACTGCCCATTCAAAAGTTTCTCTGACTCCTCGAAATGTACTAGTTAGAGGATGACATCTCCTTTGAAAAATTAGTAAACCAGTGGAAAAAGTATTAGAAGGAGGAGGTTTTAAAATTGAAGAAAGTAATTTTTCAAAGAAAGTCAAGTTGAATCGCTATTTGATACAGGTATTTTTCCTGTAAAAGAAGGAATGACAGATATTGAAGGGTGTGTCTGTCTGTCTGCCAATATTGTCTATATTGAACAATATTCTCAAAATTTTAGAATTTAGGAAGGGCGCTGCATATCCAATGATTGGAGAAGTCATATTATCGATTGTTTTCTGGATCATCTGAAGACATCCAAACGAGATAGTGAGACTAGGCTTTCTAGGAGAGCTCTACAGTCCCTTTTTCATTCATTTTTATGATCGTTAATCTTGCATTGTGTTTTTGAGAAAAAAACTAACTTAACTAATTTTGATAAATTAGATGACTGGCTGTCTGTAAAAGAATTTAAAGAATTAAGCATTACACAACTCCAAATTTTCACTTACTCCGGATTTATAAACGAACAACAACATTAACAAGTTAAGGTAGGATTCATCATCCTACGAAATGAGGTTATTTCCACTTCATCCTGTTTTATTATTGCAAAAATCAGTGCTGTATATGAATAGTAATTACGTAACTTTTCTGACGTTGTTACTACAAGTAAACAAAGGCTAATTAAATAGCTAGTTTCAGCTGTGGTTAAGTAGATTGCAAGTTCTCAAATTGGAGTCTCCGTATTATTCGTTCTGAACCGATCAAATGGCAGTAATACTTGCTACAAAACATTTCCTTTCGATGAAGAACATAAGTCTATATCACTGAAAGTACCATATATTTCTTGTTCATTTTGTGAAAATTTACGAAAACTTTCAGTTTACTATTATCTGATTATATCTTTTATTTTTGTGAGAAAAAGATATATTTAATAACATTGTGGCCTTTATAACTCTTTGAAGAGTAAAGTGGAATAAGTAGGTGCTAATTTATATTCATGGTTTTGAATTTTTAATTTCATACTTGCTTTCGGAAGAAAATTGGAGAATTAGAACTAGTAAGATATATTTTAAGGATTTGATAGCATGAAAGTTCTCAAAAAAAAAAAAAATTGGGTGAACTCTACTTTTTCTGTGGATGAATTTATTAAGTGAATTATTTGCACGTGTCAGATGGCCGAAAAGTTTTTTCATTTCTGAGTTTGTCTCATAATTTTTTGGTTCTTTAATAGACATAGCTTATGATTTTCTCAGACGTATCCGAAGATGAAAAGCATAAAATCTAAATTGAGCTTAAAAGCTTAATCAACCAAACAAATAGAACAACAAAATGAAGAGAGAAATAGAAGCTAAAAAAGATAGGACATTTGTTTTCAATATAGTTTTTAAAAATGATAATTGTAAAAATAAAAAATGATTCGGTTTCGAAATAAAGAAATGATGTTTAATAACTGATGGAGACAGAATAAAGCTGTTATAAGGATGGGAATTTGAGAGGAAAAGTGAAGAAGCAAGAAGGAAAAAAGGAAATGGAGAGCGAAAAAATAAGAGAATTCTCTATAAAAGAATTCATTTTATTTTATAGATGCAAATAGCATCACTTCACTTAGCCTCCTTCTGTCAACTTAAATGCCTATGCAATGCTATAAGCCTATAAAACACTTCCCACATACATATACACATATGCTAATAAGCTAAGCTTAAATGCCTGCAATGCTCTTTGGGAATTTTTAAAATAGTTTGATTATTGATCGTCTAATTAGAATTTAATCTCTGACTGGATTAATTGGATATATTAAATGAAATCAGTCAACTTCGCGATCAGCATATATAAACTTTCTTCAGAACATCTATGCATAATATATCAGTTGTGAAGCAGTTTGAGATAAACTGTACCAAATAATGTAAGAACATTAAAAAAGATTTAATGAACACGCATTGGCTCATTAAACCATTGTTAATGTTTTAACACTTGTGAAACTCTAAAACAAAACAGCACAATCTAAAGTAACATTTGAATGAATGTATCGAATTAATGAATGGAATAATACTCAATCATTTACAAAGAATTGTTTTTATATAAGCAAATATGCCAAAATCGGTTAAATTGAAACAGAAGATACGAAATGAAATGGAAATGATTAGATAAATATGGTTCAAGATGTGTTCGAAATCACTAGCTCGAAAAGAAAATAGCAACAAAGAAGATCGCTATATAGAGTTGAATTAACAATTTTGAAATTAAAGCATCAAAATGAGTTATTAGAGGAATAGCAGGAAAATTTCGATCAATGGGTCAACAGTGATATCAATTATTTTATCAAAATTAATGGAAAAAAAGAATATAATATGCTCATGAGGAAGAAGCATTTCAGCAAATTTATTCCAAAATTTGGTTTGAATTTTATAATCCATCCACAATACAAAATATATGAACAGATTTATTGGGAAATTATAAATGGACAGGAATTATTGACTTCTTTCATCAAAGGATTAATTATTCGAAAAGTATCTTCATTGAATTGATATTCGAAGTATATATAGCCTGAAGGACTTCCTTCAGCATTCATATTCCTATTATAAATGAGACTGAATTCAAAAGCGCTCTCACGACTTATAAACTTTAACAGTAAAAAGTATGAAAATCAAAAATCACAAACCATAAATTGATTTCCTATTTCGCTTGATTTGATTTATAGAAAAAAAAGAACGAATAAACTTGGCTCAATGATAACAAGAAAAGAAGAAAAAGAAAAAATTTCTTACAAAGAAATTTTCAGCTTGCAAAGCAGGATTGTTTTTATTTATACTTTTAGATCGGTGATCTCAAAGCTTTCAAATTAAAAATTATCTTACAATTAGAAAACAAACCTTTTGTTGATCAAATGTGTTATATTGATAAAGCACGGAATAAATTGGAAAAACAACCGATAAAAGGATGATGAATTATTATCATTGATTGCATGCAATGCAAAGAATGCATTGCAACTTTCATGGCCTATACAACAACGATTGAAAACGATTGTAACGACCATATCGATTCCATTTTATCGAACAAACGTTTGTATCACAGTTGTTACGATAAATAAAAGGCAAGAAAAGGCTAATGATCGGTAATGAAAAATCAAAATAATGAACGCAACAACTGTAAAGATGAAGAAATTGCTAAAATATCAGGCGCAAAGACCAATCCCAAAACCGCATTCGCCAGCAAAAAAATTGTAAGACCCAGACAACGTCACTGAGATGGGAAAATCCCCGGTGAAGCGCTTTTTGAAAAGACATGTAACTGCTCCATCACTTGTTAAATGTCCAGTAATGACTGATCCATATTTCGGTATTTTTCTCTGAAATTTGCAATTACTGTTTGTGAAACAACTATAGCTTTATTTGCATTAAAAAATTTTTTTTGGTGAAAGATTTCAATTTATGTCCCAAAATTTTCATTAGAATATCTTATGGTGAAGTAATTTTTAATTCTTAAAACTCAAAATGCATTAGAATAAACGCATATTTATAAATTAAAATTCTATTTTCAATCGGTACAAGATTGTCTCCAAACATTAAACATAATCTGTTTTCCAACAGCAGATTTATGAGTGAAAAAATCGGTAGTTACATTTATATAAAACGGAAGAATTCGAATAAGAATGTAATTAAGTAGACAATTTCAAAAATGCATCGAAGTCTTACTCTGACAGCTATGGTGCCTGTTAATTTCTTGAGATTTACCGAACCTGCTATGTCAACAGCACATGCTAAATATTTGTCGATATTTCGGAAATATGAAAAATGATATCCGTTACTTTTACAGAAATCAAAACATGCTGTGTAAGCCGATCCTTTATACCTGAAAGCGATCCATTTCACGCAATAAAAAATTATTAAAAAAGCCGGAAATTCCTGCTAAATGAAGGATCGGATAATACTGAAGAGAACAAAAATTCATAAAATTTCATTGTAAAATACTCTAGATTGCATGAGGAGATAGTGCTAGAGAAATTAACTAAAAAGAGATTTACAAGATTCGAAATGAAGCATCCGAAAGCTTTATAGACTTTTGCGCCTTCAATTAATTTATTGGGAAAAAGGATAGAATCCTCGCAGAAATCAATTAATTCTTATTGCTTTTTGTGCAGCTCGATTTGAATTGTTGTTCTGTCATCCAAAATATTCATTTTAAAACAAACTGTGCGTAGTAAGTGATATCAAATAATTTCTGATTGGGTTCCGGTAGCGCAAAATAACGAAACGTTAATTGTGAACCAAGCGCTAGCTTTTGTGTTATACTTCGCAAATAACTGGTCGAATAGATTGTATCTGGATACGATGGCCAACCGGTATATTTAAAGGCTAAAGTTCCTGTACGACCATAATATTCCAGCTCTACATCAGCTTTTGGTATATTATCTAAATATGGGCATGATAATTTTCTGAATTTAATATATGATGATCTATATCTAAAAAAGCAATTTCACACTTTTTCCAAGAATTTCCATTCCTTCTGCTATCAACACTCACTCGATATAATCCGATTATTGTAGTCATATCTGCACCTTACGTAGCTTTTAATGTATTCAACATTTCTTATGATATATTCTAAGCAGAACAAAAAGACTACAAAATGATACAAATGAAGCAAAGCATTATTTTATTTTATAGTTGCTTTGTACAAAAATTCCACTAATACTTCCCAACTGTTATGATAACATTGTTCTTTATTATCAGCAATCCTAGAAGATAAAACTTCATTCCTTAATTCGTATCCGTCAAATCTTTATATTTCTGTCATCTGAACAATAAATGATAAATTTAAAATGATCAAATTTTGGAAAAAGAATTGCTTGAAATGAGATTATTACTTCTCGATAAAATGTTATTAATATCCAATGATTTTTGCTCCACATCATTCTTCCACACAGAATATTTTAGAGGATTATAAAATTTTTCATGCAAGCAACCAGCCTTGTGGAGAGCACGCCACCGACATGTACAGGAAATCGTCGAGTGCCTGTGAAATGCTTATCGAAGGCCATGGGACAATAAAATTGGTGACAGCTTCAACCAGAATGCTATGTTCACCAAGTCGTGTCCGTCTTGTCGTAATGTACTTCGTGATTAGTTCACTATCTATTTGTGCTATTCCTACTCTTATTTTATTGTTCAACTGAAAAAAAGTGTCTCACAAAGTGTAAAAAAATTAACGAAATTAAAAAATTCTTTTTTCAAATTCTAAGAAACATAAAAACTAAAACAGACCATGTCTTGAACTTGCATGAATTTTAAGGAGACATGGCCTCGACCCGTAAAGGAGTTTCAAATTTTTGGTTCGAAACTTCTAGAATTGTAGTAATTAAATTCTCTCTCATCCACCCATATAAACAAGATACTCTAAGATAATAGCATTAATTTGATCAAGTCTTTAGCATTAACTTTATGAATATATTAGACAGATATTTAACAGATCCTTATTATACTATTAAATAGATTCTTATTATTTATTATGCTAAGACAAACGAGGATTACTGATCTTTTTTCCTGAATTAGCAGAACTGACCGTTGGCTATTAGTGAAACAGAATAGAGTTCTGATCATTTATTACAATAGAGTACTGTAATACCTTACAAAATCACATAATAACATAAATTTTGAAGTGAAATAGAGAGAAGAAATGAGAATTATATTACCTTAATGCTGGATGATGGGATAAATTTATTCAGCGTAAAGCGTACACCTGTAAAGCCATTCTCAATGCAAGTTAAACAATCCTTATGGAAATTACTTAGCGTCCCGGGATTTAGTGGTACCGTTTCCATCACATGCACTTCTCGTGATATATTTGGCATGTATTTGTGGGATATTCGTGGCAGTCCATAATGTAGCGATTGTTGTTTGTCATTCCGATTGATTGAATTCACCACCATTATGCTTAACATATTTATTCATTGATTTGTAATATTATTCAAGAATTTTATTACAAATCTCTCAAGTACTTAATTGCAATTCTTTAACTATTAATAATTATCCCTGGTAAGAAGCAGGATAATCGATTTGCCGAAATCTCCGTAAGACAACCCATTTAATCTTGTCATTTAATTCTCTTTGAAAATTTATTAGACAATAACCCCATCACAACAGCTCCAAGACCGTCATAGGACTGCATCTTTTGAACATTACAATGCTGATATATTTTAAGAAAATCAAGTTAGCGCCAAAAAGACCCACAAGCCAAGGCGCCACAACTTTTTCTCTTCATGCTACTTTCTTTTCTTTCATCACAAGATTGAGACATGTTTTTACTCCAGTAAAAAACGGAGCAAATTCAGTTTACTATGGATCGATTGGCTGTAATGTTTCCAAATCATTTCATTTTACGAACACTCTCGAAAACAGTGAATAAAACCCAATAGCGACAAATTTGATAGGTCTTAAACTGAATATTTTCCTAGAACAAAATGCATGCACTAGAAATTTCCTAAGATAAAAATCGGTAAATAATCTTGAGACCAATCACATTTGCCATATAGAATATAACTAACTGATTATGTCACTGATTCCTCTAAATTTCAGTTCTCAATCTCGATGCAAATACTCATTCTGCCAGTGCGATTCATAGGATTGCAAAGGCACTTGACCTCTCTTTATCTTTTAACAAAGATGATCAAAATTTGTAGTGCGATTTAAACAACAACGTGCAATTAGAGCTTTTACCATCAAGAAGAGAAAACATTGCAATTCTAAAATTCATCCAAGCCCAGTGAATTAAAAACTCAATCAATCCACCAACTACAGATTTCATTTTTGAGTAACATTCAAAATAAACGGACTCATCCCGATAAATTCTTATGTTTTTGACGAAATGTGAAAAAAATCTAACTTCTTGAAAAATATGAATATCTGAATAATCTTTCAAATTCTAAAACAGGAAGAAAATTAGAATATAGGTTGCACGGCATTTAGAAAAGTTCTTTTTTTGCAGTAATGAATAAAGATCATAACAAGAACAAATGAATGGAGAGCGAATGAAGAAAAAAAAACAAATATTATATCAGAAAGCAAACAACAACATAATAGCTAGAAATATATAGAAATATGTTATAAAAAAGATTCAACACGAAGTTGACTAAGCATAAGGAGGAACATCACTTCAAATACAATATAAAGCCCAAGCAGGAATGTGTCCATTAAGCGCGATATAAAGATTAGAATGATGTCAACAAATTCAAAACGCTATTTGCGTTTCATGAAAAGGTCAATATATTGCAACAGTTAATAAACAAAGTTCTCCATAAATAAACTATCAATCCAAAACAAGTATGCCTTCAAAACTGGCACAAGAATCAACGAATAAAGATCACAAAAACAAAAATTGAAACCACCGTGAAAACCCCTTACCATACCAAAAATTTGCTAGAAAAAATCAGTTTTATCAAATTCAACACGAGAGCAAAAACTGATAAGCTGAAGTTCACACCTGAACTACAAATAGCAAGATTTTGAAAAAATAAAACTATATCAGCAATTTTTGGAGGCCTTCAATATGCTGTAAAAAAAACACCTGGAAAGGCAACTTGACCACAACTAATGGGTTAGTTAGATCTAGAGCATTGCTGTTAAACATAGCATCTGAAATAAACAAAACAAAAAGCTTCATCTAATTACGAAGATAAACATATTGATGTCATCTGGACAGTGTTAATTAAATAAGTGAGGCCAAAATGGCCAAGTTCATTGCAAAATTCCAAACGACATAACAATTTCAGGTACATCAATTACCATTTGAGCTTCAAATAATCAGTTGCGTACCAATTAACCGATTATAAGACCAATGCCAAACTTCCCCTGCCCCTTCATATGGTTGAGCATTCCGGATATGGCCAATGTGAATGGCAGATTTCTAGAAAGTTTTTTCTCAAACACGGCTCCAACTGACCAATCGGTATTCACTGACGCTCTCATTATTACACCTTCGTCTGGGATCTCAGCCTGAAAACAGGTTTAGTAGATACCCTTAGCAACAGATTCGCTGCATAAAATAAAACGCAATCCTTTTAATGACAGTGCCTTTGAGTTTCACAATGTAAGCAAGCCTCAGCTAAAAAGTTAAAAAGTTAAGAAACAGATTATTTTTCACAAAAATGAACACAGCCTAATCTTTCAAAAATTGCAACAAAGTTTCAAGAGTAAATTCAATAGAATGCACTATAATTATTGATCAGGACTTTATATATATATATATATATATATATATTGAGAGGACAAGTATGCAACTGTTTAATCAGATATTTGCTCAACTATCTGTCTAATTTTTCCCTGAAAAAAACTTATACATACTATCTACGCTGATAACCTATTCACCTGATAACCAATAGTTGTAACTGCCTCTCCAGATCGTGTCGAACTTTCGAATTCGACACCAAATGAAATATTTTCACGTTGTTTATGGTAATAACATAAATGAAGGGCATCAAAACTGAACATTCCACTTGCAATAAAATTTTTACCCGTATACCTGCAACTTGCAAAATTATTCGAAAAAAATTCCAGATATAAAAAGGATACTGGGAATTATGGCGAACCTGTACCTGAACAAAAATAACAATAAGGCCTCAATGAAATAGACTTATTCAATAAGATCAATACAAGCATCAAATAAACATCATAGCCCCAATGCTAAAACTAGAAGATATGCAACATGGAGCCAAATATGCAACATGGTCTGAGTCCTGAACAATGAAAGAAAATATAAAAAGCAAACAAAAAAAAGCAATATGAAAAAGTAATCCAACCTTGCCTGATAGTTTACAACTGAAAGTTGCCTTCCAGGAATGGGAATTCCATATTGATGGATGAATTCGACACCTAGATCCAGTTTGTTGGTTATGCGACGCAGATACTGTGCAACAATAACTCCAGAATCATTGATGATATCAATATTGGCACATGTCAGTCCCAGTGTTGTAAGACGACCACGATATTCAATTCCCCCTTGAGTTGTTGCCAACTTATTCCCTGTAAAATTTTGACTCTTAAAAAATAAAATTGCACGGTACAATTTTTTGAAGTCCTGTTCAAAATAGCCATAAATAAAATACCAAAAGAGTAGAAAAATAAATTTCGTGCAGATTCGAGAGTGCATGGAAAAATAAGGAAAAGAAATGTACTTCTTACTTTTAACAACCTTTCAATTTAACATTTGTGAACTTAAAAACAAGTCATATTAATGGTAACAATTATCATGAAATAAGTTCACTTCCCTTGTTCGTTAAAAATTAGGAAAACATCAATCGAAAACTACTGTCAACCAATTTTTTAACACTACACAATGTACATTAAAATTTGCATGGAGCGATAAGATGGCGAACGTATACTACGATAGAAGTGAAATACATGGTGCAGTACAATCCAAAAAAGGAACACTCTGAAATGCTACTCACCTTGAGTTTGAGCTTGCATTTTCACTCTCCACCGATCGCCAAATTGATGTAAAAATGTCGCAGAAGTGTTACCAGAAATATCGGTGTCTGCCAAAAACACCGGAAAATTTTCACCTTCTTGTTGCGTTGTCTTAGTTCCAACATAGGTAGCACCAAAACGATATCCCGTATTTTGCGGTGATACACTTAACGTATGAGTCACCTGTATATTACTTGCTAATGATTAATATATGGTTATCGGAAGAATAATGTATGGTTATAATATATGGTTATGGTTTCTTCCTATGATGACGTGTAAAAAACTAAATTAGCCTTCATTCCCAGAAAGCTTATGACTACTGAGGAGTGTCTTTCATATAAAATTTTCACTAGGAAAGAATAACCTGAAAATGTGAGGACATTGCTTTCGTAAGCATCATCCTTGCTCCATCAAAACACATCGGGAATATTTCGCGACACTTTCGATGTATTTCCTCCAACGATCCAGGATTACTGCTGGTTGTGACTGGAGAAAATACACGAGCTGAGGTAGCATTTTTCGCCCGACTATCAACAAGACCACCTGCCTGTGTGCTATCCGCAGGAGCATCTGCTGATTTAAATGTCGACATATAGTTGCTCCTTCAATTTTGATTGATTTCAACAGCTATAAGTTCTGTTATTATCAAACAGTACACAAAATAAAGTACTATCAGCCCCATTATTAATCTTCATGACGTGCAAAATATCTAGAGCTAACTTTAATGAATCATTGAACTGTTCCATACTGCAATTAATTGATTTTTCTATCCAAAATCAATTAATAGAAGTGCAGAGTGGTTCACGCGCAAAATTCGTAAATATTTTTCGACAATAGTGTTCACAAGTGTCTTCCTATAAATACTCTTCGTGCTTGTATTACCTACAGTAACAGGATACGAAACACTAGAACAGTTTTTTGAACTTTTTAAAATAAATTAAGAATATGTGAAAATGATCAACTGAGTCCTTAAAAGTTAACATAAGAATAATAATAATTTCTGCCCACCAAATATTAGACAGATTATAAAAAAAATCAGAATTTTTTCTTCAAAAAAAGGACTCAGTATAATAAAATAATGAATAAAAGTCTCTGAAAGAAAAAATGTTTAACTTCAAATTTTCGAGGAGAACAAACATACTTCCCCAACAGATAACGATTTTGAATGAATCTCGAAAACTTCAGCAAATGTTAAAAATTCAAATATGTGGAAAAAATTGTAAGAAATATGAATTTTATTGCAATTTTCATTAATTTCAAAAAAAAAGATGCTACTTTTCCTGCACAGTTTCCTTTAGTTTTTCTAGCCAAATGAAATTTGACTTCAAAGAGAAACATTCTATTCTAAGACAAATATTCTACAAAGGCAAAGAGAAGAGGTCAAGAATAAACCGATCATGGTGAGATTTGGTCGAAAATTCCCATCCTTTGTCAATATTTTGTAAGGTTCCCCCTAAACAGTTCAGAC